ACTGTGGCTTCAACGGGGATGAATTTTGTTGCATATTGGCAATGTATGATCGGTAATGCATGATTTGTCGTGTATTGGCAGCACATGATTGGCAACGCATGATTTGTCGCGTATTGGCAACGCATGATTGACAATGAATGATTTGTTGCATATTGGCAACACATGATTTGTCGTGTATTGGCAACACATAATTGGCAATGCATGATTTGTCGCATATTGGCAACACAAGATTGGCAACGCATGATTTGTCGCGTATTGGCAATGCATGATTTGTCATGTATTGACAAAACATAATTGGCAATGCATGATTATTCGCGTATTGGCAAAACATAATTGGCAACGCATAATTTGTTGTGTATTGGCAACACAAGATTGGCAACGCATGATTTGTTGTGTATTGGCAACACAAGATTGGCAACGCATGATTTGTTGTGTATTGGCAGCACATGATCGGCAACGCATAATTTGTCGCGTATTGGCAATGCATAATTTGTCATGTATTGGCAACATGTAATTGGCAATGCATGATTTGTTGTGTATTGGCAACACAAGATTGGCAACGCATGATTTGTTGTGTATTGGCAGCACATGATCGGCAATGCATGATTTGTCGCGTATTGGCAACACATGATTTGTTGCATGTTGGTAACACATACTTGGCAATGCATGACTTGTCACGTATTGGCAACATGTGATTTGTTGTGTATTGGCAACATATAATTGGCAACGCATGATTTGTCACGTATTGGCAACTCATGATTGACAATGCATGATTTGTCGCGTATTGGCAACACAAGATTGGCAACGCATGATTTGTCGTGTATTGGCAACACAAGATTGGCAACGCATGATTTGTTGTGTATTGGCAACACAAGATTGGCAACGCATGATTTGTTGTGTATTGGCAACACAAGATTGGCAACGCATGATTTGTTGTGTATTGGCAACACAAGATTGGCAACGCATGATTTGTTGTGTATTGGCAACACAAGATTGGCAACGCATGATTTGTTGTGTATTGGCAACACAAGATTGGCAACGCATGATTTGTTGTGTATTGGCAACAACACATAATTGGCAATGCATGACTTGTCACATGTTGGCAACACGTGATTTGTTGTGTATTGGCAACACATAACTGGCAACGCATGATTTGCTCTCAGGAATCACATGTATATAGCTTTGTGATACACACTTGACGGCTGCTTCCAATCCTGCTGGACTCAAGAGATATCTCAGTACTTGCCTCCCCCGCTCAGGTTTTCCAAATCTCCTGTATCACTTCCGTTGCTCTCCTCTGGATTCCGCCCAATTTATCCACGTCTGTCAAACGGGCGTGCCCACAACTGGACACAAGACACCAACCGAGAGTCAATGACTCCTTGTGTCCTACATATGATGCTTCATTTAGGTCATGTTGTTGACTCGTGTTCCATGGGTAATTCACAATAACTCGTGGATTCCTTGGGGGAGTATTTCCCTCTAGCCAGCTACTCAAGTACCATAGGGTATGTCTACACTACCCCGCTAGTTTGAACTAGCAGGGTAATGTAGGCATACCCTAAGAGAGTGTTATAAGGAGGAGGGAGAAAACTTGTTCATCTTGGCCTCTGAGGACAGGACAAGCAGCAATGGGCTGAAATTGCAGCGAGAGAGGTTGAGGTTGGACATTAGGAAAAAGTTCCTAACTGTCAGGGTGGTTAAACACTGGAGCTATGTCTACACTGGCGGCTTCTTGCGCAAGAACAGCTGTCTACACCGCACACGCGTTCTTACGCAAGTAAATTTACTGTCTAGCGTCGGAAAACAGGGCTTCTTCCAGAAGAGTTATTCCTCTCCCCGTGAGGAATTAGCCCTCTTGTGTAAGAGCTCTTGCACAAGAGGGCAGTGTAGACAGACAACATGAATTTCTTGCGCAAGAAACCCCTATGGCTAAAATAGCCACCAGTGCTTTCTTGTGCAAGAGAGCATCCACACGGCCAGAGACGCTCTTGCGCAAAAGCACACGGCAGTGTAGACGCGCTCTTGTGGAAGACTTTTTGCGCAAGAACTCTTCCGCAAAACAGTTCTTGTGCAAGAAGCTGCCAGTGTAGACGTAGCCAGGAATAAATTGTCCAGGGGGGTTGTGGAGTTTCCATCCCTGGAGATATTTCAGAGCAGGTTGGACAGACATCTATCGGGGCAGGCTAGCCCTGTGATTCTCAACCAGGGGTACTCGGGTGCTCAAGAGAAGTTGGGGGGGATACGTCAACCCAACTGAAATTTGGAGAAAACTGAATTTTTGTTGAGTATCAGAGGGGTAGCCGTGTTAGTCTGAATCTGCAAAAGCGGAGAGGAGTCCTGTGGCACCTTATAGATTAACCAAAGTGTTAGAGCAGAAGCTTTCGGGGGCAAAGACCCACTTCGTCCGATGCATGTTGAATTTTTGTTGTACGTTTTACAGCGCTTTCTTATTTGTGTACTTTTTACACCCAAACATTTTATCATCTGCCCGGTGATGATGAAGTTGTGTAAACGGATGTGTTGCTATGGTAGAAAAAAATGTTGTGTGTCTGAAAGATTATAGGTATGGGGGTACTTCTCATTTTTTTTAAAGGGGTACTTTATTAAAAAAGGTTGAGAAACACTAATCTAGACAGGGCTTGGTCCTGCCGTGAGGGCCGGGAACAGGACCGGATGACCTCTCGAGATCCCTTCCAGTTCTAGTGTTCGATGATTCCATACGGCACAGCATGTTCGTTAATCGAATCGTCAGACAATAAATGGTTGCGGTAAGGAATGAACTGGCTACAGATCGGAGGCCTTGCGGCGAATTCCACCGCACGAGGGGGAAGGAGGCGTGGGGAGGGTTAAGTGTCCTGCGTGCACCGTTTTGGAGTGACACGTAACCGTGCGAATTCTTGCTCATCCTATGGGTTGATACAGACCCGCAAAGGAGCTCAGGCACGGAAAAGAGCCGAGAACGGCTTCTTTCCTCCAGAGACACTGGGCCGAGTCCCACAAACTAACTTTCAGAGGGCCGTCCGTGTTCAGTCTGTAACTGCAAAACAATCAAAAAACCCAGCAAAGGACGTGGCCCGATTTCTGGAACATCACCGCCATCTCCTGGCCGGCTTCTGCAGCCCCTGAGAAACCAGAAATTGCACAATCGGCCTCCTTCAGCAAGTTGGATGCCATCGGGCGTAGCCTGAAAAAAGCCCCCGGCTGGTGGGGCTGGTCTATTCCACACCCACACAACATCAAACACTCAAGTGTAGAACATGTGCAGCCCAAATAAACATTTTACAGTCCTTTCTGTATGTATAAAATACAGACCACAGCATTAGACAATGACTTCATTCTTAGATTCTCATGCAAAATGTCTTGTCCCAAAGAAAGGGTGAGGAAGGAAAACTAAGTTCCAACTCAGGATTCCTATTCCTCAGGTTGTTTTAGACTAAGACTGAGATGGGGGTGATATACTCACTTCTAGAGGGAGAAGTGTTGCTCTTGCACCACTCTTTTACACTCCCACCAGCAGCTGAAGCTGCATTATTGTCTTGCAATGGGCATTATACAGTAGATTTAAGTGGGGAAAGCAATCTCAGTCCAACTAGATTCTGATTTCTTGCAACACTGGATGGAGGTGTTGAGCCCATTTTCACATAGTTAGAGACTCGGATGCAAAAAAAGTCTTAGTTTTCTAATTGTCAATTCTTGGTTTTCCCTCTTCTCCAGAATTTATTTTAGTAAACTAAAAAGATCACCCATAGAGGAGGTTTGCACTAGAACGTTTCTGCCAAACATTAGATTTTTCTTGTGTCACAAAATATAGGAAAGTCAGCTGGTCAAACACATCCACACTAAAACATTTTTATAATAGCAGTTTTATAGTAAAAATAATAAAATTATAAAACATGCCTTTTATCCCTGAAGGATCCCAAAATATTTCAAAACTATACACACATACCACCACTGAAATGTAGCCACTTCTAGGGTGTAAAGTAGCAACAACCAGCTGACTCATGGCATGCCATCAAACAGTGGTGAGAAGAGGAATTTTTGGCAAAGGACACCAGAGCAACCCACTACACTTACACAAAGTATTCTGGGATCTTTAAGTGTCAACATAGAACAGGCAGGACCTTGTTTTTAAGGTCTCATCTGAAAGACCTATAGACACACAAACTGCACTAAGTTGAACATATCTACCTCAGAGGGATGAAAGACTGCATCAAACCTGCCAAGATTCAAACCTGTAGTTCCAAAGAGACTAGGTGCTCAGACCCTGAAAGCCATCCAGAGGGGATGGCATCTACAACTGACTAGATTTCAATTTAATACATGAAACTGCTGCTGACATCAATGCTTGTCGATTTGTTTTCTCATCAGAAGTTTTGGGTTAAAGTATTTGCACAAGGTTTGGCCATTATATAAGGTGAGTTGAAGAAAAATCTGTTTTGTCCAAAATCAAAACACATACGTCCTCCTTCTTTTCCTTTTTCTTCTTCCTGGGGTGAGAGTCAGATTCCTGGGAAGGGGCATTGAGCTCGCTGGAATATTCTCGTATTAATACTTCAATGGCCCCTTTAATTAACTGATCTCTTCTCTTTGTTTCCTCATCCAGTGCTTCATCATCATCATTTGTAGACTCTGGTCTGGAGTTCTAGGGAAAGTGGCAAATTTAGAGAAATCAGCAAACTGTCACACTATGCTCCACCCCATATGAGAGAAAGAATTTTGTCCCAAATGTTCATTTTTTATAATCCTGTTAGTGCCTCTATTGTGTTTACCAAAATTTAAGAGCAGCTCTCAACAGCATCATATTGCTCAGATCTCCTCGCACTAGCAGCGCTAGAGAAGGACAATATTCCAGGAATGGCTGTAGACTGCAACTGAAGGATTGTGATAAAAATGATGGACAGATCAAGGTCAAGGCAGAGGAAGAATTAGAGGGAAAAAAAATGGAGTATCAATAGCTGTGGCCCTAATGTTCATCTACCATAGTTTCTAATCTCTCTCCATCAGGAACTGTAGACCACTTCAAAAGCTTACGTCTATTTTTTTCCTTGGAACCACACTAGACTCACACAATAAAAATGGTCTGCCTTTTCTAATTAAATTTAAAGCAATAAACTGTGGAGAAAGCGCTACTTTAAAGTAACATTTCTAGAAATAAAATATCCCTGCCATACAAGATGTTTTCTTTTTGCTGATTATAGACTTACGTCTCATTTTCCTTCCAGGACAGAGGGAAACTCTAGGAAAGAATCTCTTTGCATCAACATTATATAGAAGTGTATGAAAAATGTTTTGAATAAAAAAAAAATCTATTGTCCCCCACCTCCGCCTGTCCCCAGCCCAAACA